CAAAGCTGATGAACATATACACTCTTTACACGTAGAAAAGCTTCTCCCTGTTCTCGTTTAAAATTACCGTATCGCGTCTCTACATTCTGCACAGAGCAGCCTGTCTATCGCAGACGTTGATCAAAACGAATTTTCTGTTTTCTTCTATGGAAACGAGTTACCGGTCAGCGAAATCTTCACTCCGGTTTCCTATTCCTCGATCACAAGTCCATACGTTCAATCCTGACTACTCTGAAACTTTTCTTCACCTCGCCACGCAGACTATGGAAACATCCACGCACCTTCAATTCGAGATACCAAGCGAAGTTCGTTGAACCTCTCGCTCTTGGTCGTTCCTCAGCAACGAATCCTCGAAACTTCCTCGCGATATCAGCGCGATTATCTCACAGCCACTTTCTTTTCATCCCTCCCCGTGTATTATTTATTTCCACAGAAAGTTGCTCGTTCCCTTTACAATCCCCGGCATCAATTATCTTCAGGAACAAACGATATATTTTTATTATTTCTGATCTCTGGTCCACGCCATTATCTCGCCCCGTCGTCAGACATTCCCAGTTTATCTTTATCCATTTCTCCGTCTGTCGTTTCCACTTGTTCACCGCCCCCGGGCTGCGTCGTCGGCTCAAAGCACGCTCTAATGGGACGGAGATTAAAAAATGAACGGAACAGGCCGGAAATGGAAACAGCCGCGAGCCTCGCAACTCCACTTTCTTCTCCGCTGTCGACGATTACCTGATTAGATCGCGGAATAACCCTCAAGCTGAGCAGTTCCTTTGACTCCGTTCCTCGGTCTACTTTGACGGACTTTTTTCTCCTGTTTCGAAGGTTTCTCGAGGGCTTACGGTCTGGGCTTCGCCGAAACTTGCGAGCGTTTGGAGCGAAGGGATGACTGTAGTAGGGATATGCTTTATGACAGAGGCTAGATCGCCCGTAGATGTTCCATCGGAGGAATTGAAATGTAATCGCATCGACGAGTAACGCATGAGCGACGGGGATAGGGAAGAGGCACGTGTGGAGCTGTGTATTCGTGTCAGTGGAGATTCAAGGAAAAATGGTGTTGTTTTTTAATTGAGACATTTCGTGGGTGAGTAACGTGTATTTTAAATTTTAGGAATTTAGTTTGCGTTGCGGTTTATGAGAGTGTGTAATAGTGCAGAAGATTCGTGGATAATAAAAAATCCTAGGGGAATGTATGAAATAAATCCTGGAGAAATTGATTGAAACTTATGGTAATCATAAATTTTGCAAGATTCATAATTTGGCAGGTTCTGAAAATTCTACCAGTCGTCAGGACGTGCTAAAAATTACCCTTAATAGTTGGAGAACGTGTAACCATCGAGAAAATCAGAAATAATAAAAAATCCTAATGGAATGTACGAAAAATTGATTAAAAATAAACCTAATCATAAATTCTACAAGACTCATAATTTGGCTGGTTCTCAAAATTCTACCAGTCATCAGAACATTCTAAAAGTTGCCCTTAATAGTTGAAAATCATAAAAAATCCTAATGGAATGTATGAAACAAATCCTAGAAAAATTGATTGAAAATAAACCTAATCATAAATTCTACAAGACTCATAATTTGGCTGGTTCTCAAAATTCTACCAGTCATCAGAACATTCTAAAAATTGCCCTTAATAGTTGAAAATCATAAAAAATCCTAATGGAATGTATGAAACAAATCCTAGAAAAATTGATTAAAAATAAACCTAATCATAAATTCTACAAGACTCATAATTTGGCTGGTTCTTAAAATTCTACCAGTCATCAGAACATTCTAAAAATTGCCCTTAATAATTGAAAATTATAAAAAATCCTAATGGAATGTATGAAACAAATCCTAGAAAAATTGATTAAAAATAAACCTAATCATAAATTCTACAAGACTCATAATTTGGCTGGTTCTCAAAATTCTACCAGTCATCAGAACATGCTAAAAATTGCCCTTAATAGTTGAAAATCATAAAAAATAAAAAACCCTAATGGAATGTGTGAAACAAATCCTAGAAAAATTGATTAAAAATAAACCTAATCATAAATTCTACAAGACTCATAATTTGGCTGGTTCTCAAAATTCTACCAGTCATCAGAACATGCTAAAAATTGCCCTTCATAGTTGAAAATCATAAAAAAGAAAAAATCCCAATGGAATTTATTAAACGAATCCTAGAAAAATTCATTAAAAATACACCTAATCATAAATTCTTCAGACTCGTAATTTTTCTGTTATTCAAATTTCTACCAATCATCAAAAAATGTTAAGAATTAATCGAACAAATACAGTAAACCATCGTCAAGTGTTTCAACGCACACACGACATAATTGCGTACGCAATATCTGTCTCATTGAAACACAGAATACGCAATTATATCCTTGGAGAATTTCTATTCTGTACCAAAAATCTGGTTTCTGATTGGAGAGAAAAAATGGTCCTAGTCCGGCTGGGAACTGGAGTATAATGACCGCAGCAGAGTCTGCGAGTGTGGCCCGATAATGAACCACCCAAAATCCCATTACCTCGTCTGCGGAGAATTCATTACTCGTTAGCCTCACTTCCCTGCGTTCTTTCTTCCCGTGTCCCGGATAATCGAAGGAACCGTGACTCGAGGCAACACCATAAATCCTCCTTGCGCGTTGTCCTAATTTATAGGACGTAACTGGTTGCCTCGCAACACGATTCTCCCGATAAGGTATTTCCACGAGATGACGTGTCATCAGCGAGCGAAAACGATGATAGATACCGGTTGGGTTCGTTTTATCTACAGTGGAACGTGGAGAGCTGTGTTGGAAATCAGCGGTCGGACGTTGTCATAAGTAGATAAGTCCTCCATAGTCGAACTCCTCGAATGACGCGAGAATTGGTGGAAGTTACTCGGAGATTAACGAAGATTTTACCGAGAGGATTACATCTTTCACGGATTTGTACTCTTAGCAGGCTGAATAATTCATTGGGACTTTTAGTATCCCTCTCTTAATGTCATTTCTATTTAACATCTCTTATGAATAATTTTTTCACCACAAAAGATGTCTAGTGTCCAGAAATATCTAAAATTCCCCGAGTAACTTAACCCTTTCCTTGAAATTTTTTAAAACTATGCTATTTTATTTCAATATTTATTTTATTGTATTCTCTGAACAAATTTATGGAGGCCCATAGATCTGCAAGTGACAATTATTTAACGTCGCTACTCGGTCGCCATTCGATTGCAAAGGGTTGAACCTTCACTCCTCCGCTCTGTTTTGCAATAAATATAATTTCGATTCTGTCAAAAATTGTTGGATTATTTCTAACAACACCCTATGGAAATAATCAAGTGAGGACAAAAATGTCTCCGGGTTATTTTAAACAAAGGCACTAGGACTTCCACCAGATGCATCTGGTGTCCGTCTTCGAGTCACTCACTGCACAATGCCATACCATAGCGTAAACAGTTTCTAGGTATAAGGGGACCCCAACTTTCTTTTGGGTGCCTAGAAACAGTCCTTCAGAAGATTCAATAGAGTAAAGACGTTTCCTCTGAGACCGTAAATAAATCGTATATTACAAAGTTAAAAGACTATTTCATTCCATAACCCATTTCCAATAAAAATCGCTCAGCAAAGTCTATTCTCCTCTGGAGTTAAAATAACCCGTCACTCTAATCATTCGATTGCAAATACTCCCGAAAATTCGTCGAACGTTTCCCAGGTCGTAAAGTCTCCGGTAGCATTGAATCCCGCAAGCTACCCTAATCGCTTTATCCAACACGTGTCCCCGCCTTCGGAAACAAAGCCACGTGGAAACTGCAACTCCCGGCGGGACATTTGAATCCGTGAGTTCTTGTCCCGTGTGTAATGTATTAACTTTCCGACGTTAAGGGCCGGTTGTGCGAGGTTTGAAAGGCATAGCAGTCGGTTAGGTTAGGGTCTGAACGGCACTCAGGCGGATCGTAACAGCCCTTGCAACTCTGCCAAGATAGCACCGGTGTGTTTGTTCGGTCATCTTACGCGGAGTACTTGGTCGCTTATATGCATTCGCGCAAACAGCGGACGATTTTACAAGCGTCAAGATCCGGCATGCTGGGCTCAGTCGAGTGTTAATTTGCTATTAGCCCTGGCTCTTGAATTACACGTGTTATCTTCGGCGCGCAAGACCACCGTGCTCCGTTGAGCAGTTTATTTGCTCTCCGTTCGAGACGTTTGAAATGGTACCTGCTAGGGAGCGACGAATTTATCTTGAAGAATATTCATTTTTGCTAATTACGGAGGCATTTGTGTAGACTGCAGTTCGTTAGTTTGACGGTGAAATGTAGAAACGCTATGTAATTCAATTTATTTCAATTCAACGGAGTTTATCATCCTCGCCTAATTATTTTTTTCTCCTATATTTACTCATTTTTGGTGATTATGGAGAAATTTGTGTAGACTACAGTTCGTTAGTTTGATCGTGAAATGTAGAAATGCGATGTAATTCAATTCAGCGAAATTTATCATTCTCGTCTAATTAACTTTCTCTCCCATACTTACTCTTTTACCGCATTTTAACGGATAGAAATAAACTTTCCAAGGGTAGCGTATTTTATTCCAAAGAAAATATCGCGTGTCATAAAAAAATGGCCATTTTTCGAAGGAAGTAAGAAATAATATCGCGTTATTAATTCCGTCTGTGCCCGAAACAATTTGAAACAACCATAACAGAAGTTCGCAGTGGGAAACGAGGAGAATGGCCATGCGTTGAACCTGGTGAATCATTAATTCCGCGTTAACGTCGCTCGCAATCTTAGTTAACGCCTCTCTCCCTCTTCGTCCGCGTAATGGTTTATCGAACGAACTCGCGTGGAAATTGCCGTACAGATGACCGTAGAGATTCGTAAACTTGGCTAACGAGCGTGGAATTAACCAATCGACCGGGAACGTGATTCATACTTTGAATAATTTAGCCAATTTTCCCTTGCCTCGAACATCACCGGGACTCCGAATGAAGAAATAATTGACCTATCGATCCGTTGTTGTTCTCAGCGTGTCAACAGGTCAAGTACGGCGTGCAGGCGGTATTCGGTCCGTCGGATCCCATACTCGGCCAACACATCCACAGCATCTGCGACGCACTGGACATTCCACATCTGGAAGCCAGGCTGGACCTGGACACGGAGGCGAAAGAGTTCAGCATCAACCTCTATCCCGCACAAAGTTTGCTCAACGCCGCTTATCAGGACATCATGGAGTTTCTCAACTGGACCAAGGTCGCCATTATCTACGAGGACGACTATGGTGAGTGATTTTTTCAAGTTTCCTCAGACACTTTGGTGACTTTGGTGGGTTTGAAACGTTCAGATCTTCGGTGTTCACTGCTGGTGCCTCAGGTGTCTGACTAAAGTCGACTCGTACTACTGCGCTGTAGCTTTATGATTGATTTTACTACTGGTCACTCGAATGACACTATTTATTTATTCAAAAGTTTATTATTTTCGGTTAGATTTTTGTATTTTTCACTTGTTTAACGGTGTACTTAAAAAATTTGAAGTATTTTGAAGCATTTTTTCTTATTTTACATTAGTAGTCACTGCTACAACAAAGTATTAACTACGTTGTACATGCATTTTGTCACTTTTGTTGGACTCAGTTTAGTAAATAACTTTTGCATAGTACAGTTTGAAACACGCAATGAAATTTGTACTGTTTTCTATTGTTCCACAATACTGGTCATTCGAATGCCCGATTTGTTTTGTTATATTTCAACCTTTTTCACGGTACGTTTGTAAAATTCGAAAAATTGTGCCTGTGCACACGTTTCAAATTATTACTCGGTGTTACAAAACAAATTAGCTACGTTGCAGTAGTACTGCTTTGAACCCTGGAGCACAGATTTCCATTGTTGCACGTCCATGTAAATCGACGTCGAGCTTGAGAAAAGTAACAGAGTTACCAGGTGAAGCTTTCTCAGATAGTAATCGCGACATCGACAGCCGATACAGCTCGAAGCAGGCGAAGCTCCCTTGATAAGGGTGTCTTTCAAGCAACGTTGAAAGTTTAATTAGTTTTCTTCGGTCAGTACAAAACCTCGCATGTTACCCGCGATAACGCTGATAAAACAAAAGTCCCCGTTCTCAGCGGCGCGTCGTCCGTGCCTCTGCAAATTGCATTTTTGTAGCCGTCTCTCTGTCAAAAAAAAGAGTGTAACACTCGTAAGAATTTATAATGTTCGAGGAAGACGGGACAGAAACACGGTGCCAAGCGTTTCTTGCAGCGTCCTGTTGCTGCGGGCGATCTTTTTGCCGCGTTAAACAGAATGCATATTCATAATCCGGTGGTGCAGATTCATCGACCGACTACGCAGACCGTGAAACAGCAGGGTGGTTTATACTCGAAACTTTCGCTATTCGTTCCCCAGGACGAATGTTATAATTCAATTAATGCAAAAAGCACACGCAATTCGCGAGAAGCCTGTTCGAATATTAATAGGAAGTTGAACGTCGACGAAACGGTTCCTGAGAGCGGAGTTATTCTGGAATGGAAAGGGAAGCTTCCGTTTGACCCATTCGAGAGGCGATTTTAGGGGGAAAAAATTTAGGAATAGCGCGCGTGCGTGGTAGGAGAGAAAAAAGGCGAAAAGAAAGCTTTTCTGCAGGCATTTCTGATTGGACGCGGATATTTCTGAACACTAAGCTTTGAGTCAGTGTGGGCTTGAGGATATGAGAGTGATTTTGAGAGTAAAAGTGGGATTCTGAGAATTTGAGAGGTGATTTTGAGAGTCAGAGTGGGATTTCGAGAACCTGAGTATAATTTTGAGAGTCAGAGTGGGATTTTGAGAGTCAGAGTGGGATTTTGAGAGTCAGGGTGTGGTTTCCAGAGACAGAGTGGGATTTTGAGAATTTGAGTGTGATTTCGAGAGTCAGAGTGAGATTTTGAGAATCTGAGTATAATTTTGAGAGTCAGAGTGGGATTTTGAGAATCTGAGTGTGGTTTCCAGAGTCAGAGTGGGATTTTAAGAGTCAAGGTGTAATTCTGAGACTCAGAGTGGGATTTTGAGAATCTGAGTGTGGTTTCAAGAGTCGGAGTGGGATTTTGAGAATCTGAGTGTGGTTTCCAGAGTCAGAGTGGGATTTTGAGAGTCAAGGTGTAATTCTGAAAGTAAAAGTGTGGTTTTAAGAATCTAAATGAATTTTTGAAGATCAAAGTGTGATTTTGAGAGTCAAAGTGTAATTTTCAGAATCACAAAAAAAGTACCATAGACTTGAATAGAACTATAGTTGCCTAATCTTACTCTCAATGAAACATATTTTATTTTAAACGGCACCTGCCCCTTTTTAACCACAGAAACCCTTCCTAAACCTAGAATTCCTTCAAACACGTACCTGTACAACACACACACACACGCAACGACCGACATAAAATCAAAATCTACAACACAACGCTTAATTTCTAAAGTTACCCAACGTTCGCCCCTGTCGGTACAAGTGAAGTTTTCCCCCCGTGGCCTCGGTAATCAAGGGGTTAAACGAAGACGGCTGAGAATGGAGAACGTTAATTGCGCCCATATTCCTCCGACAAGTTTACCTCGTTAAATAATCAATTTCCCTGGAACAGTTAGTAGAAGAAGGCCTCTGCCAATTACCAGTCCTATTAGCAACAATTACGTACCGCGGTAATGGAATAACGTCGATTAATAACACTCGTCGCCAGAGTGCAAAAACCGAGATAATGAAATTCATTCGTAATGAGAAAACGTCCTCACCTCCCCTCCGTTCTTCCTGTTCGTCCACCCCTCTTTGCGAAGAAAGCGTGTTCCGCCAGGAGAGCCTGAATTCCTTCTAATTAATTCGCAAAATGGCGGTTTTAAACTGCACAGAGATTCCTTCCGGTGCTTTCAACCGCTTCCGCTCTCGGTGTGCACCGAACGGCGTTCTTTGGCGGCCGATCTTCGACGATGAATAATGGAAAGGGCTGAATGGAATTATGTAAGGGTGCACGTGCGCGCTATCGAACACCGTGTCTAACTTCATCTCATCGAGCTTCGTCCCGTGGTCGGCTAATTAATGTTTCTTCCAAGTATCACGTCACACTTGAAGGCGTCGACGGAAAGAAGATACACGCTGTTGCGCGGCAAATTGGGCGAAGCGCGGTTACTCCATGGTGAAACGAAATTCTCGGGTTACTGTGTCTGACCAAACACTGGTTCCTTCTACTTAATATCAAATTAAACCTTTTCTCTTTAACTTTTTAGATTCGGTAGACTCGTGTACTTATTTTTTTTTTTTCGTCGTTCAGTTCGTGTTTCGTGTAAATAAAGTAATAACAATTGCTCGTAGACTGTGAAACGAAAAATTTGTGATCACTGTAGGTTTCAAGCTAGGCAAGAATTTTTCAGGAGAAATTTAGCAACTTTGATAGACACTTAACGAATTTCTTATTAATTTAGTTCAATTTTTATTTTTCAAGACGAAGCAAATGTCTATTGAACCTTGCAATATTAGTTAAAAATTGGTACAAAATTGTTAGATCCGACAAATGCAATCGCATTCGCTGCGGCGACCGTTCTGGCACAGATTCCTCAGCACTCAAAGGATTAAACAACGAAACGCACCACCGTGATTTCGTGATTTCGAACGACCGATCGACGAAGTTCAAGCTGGATTACAATGGGGTGAGTTCGTCAAATATTCCTGTGACAGATTGTTACAGCACGTGCGTCGCTACCGCATTTCGTGCGCAATGAACGTGACAGTTTCTCCCACCCCCACACCGAGATCGAGAACTTCGCTGTCACCGAAGGGAAAATGGCGCATTCGTCGTCAGACAGGCTACGCTTAGCCAATTTCGAATTACAAATGCCCGAAGAGTGTGTTCCATACCAGATCCCATTTCAGCAAACGATCACCTTCCAAACTTTCGAACGAACGAATCGTAAGCTGTCACTCCAACATGCTGAACGTTAGGCGAATTTTGTCTTCGTGCCTTCCATAAGAAAACGAGTTAACTCGTCGTTAAAGTCAATCTATGATCTATTTATCGAATCAATTTCTGTCATAGATCGGTTAATTCTTTGTTATTCTGTGTGACTTGGAAGTTACTTATTCGTCTAACCCTTTGCACTCGAAGATCTTTTTGCTACAAGTAAATTGCAAATCCGATGTATCTCTATATTACACAAGGCCTTGTAACAGTTCATCGAAGATTGCTTCGTTCAAACCCACTCTATAGATCTGTTGTCCTGTAAAATCAATTTTTTACCAAGTGGTAAACAATGTCGCTTCTCAGTCGCCACTCGAGTGCAATGGGTTACTAAGAAGTATTAATTCTTGCTTCTTCCGTGAAATTACCGTAATTTATCCGTTCAAGAACGAAGAAAAATTGAGGGTTAATAGTGTCGAGAATTGAATCGAGGAATAAAAAACCTTGGATGGTATTCAACGTGTTAATCAACGTTGAGAAAGTGAGTGGAGTAAAGAAATTCCAGTGGCTGAAAGTTTCCATTTAAACCAGCCAATGCCTGTGAAGTTTCTTAACCGCTTCCGTTACTTTCCACGTCTCGATAGGATTTGTCGGCGAACTTGAGCAGCGCCGATGAAAACGCGGGCCCGAGCTTAACCGTCTCGACCAACGAGCTTATCTATTTGCGGAGGTGCACGAAAGTTACACGTACAAGCCGATTAGAACACCGTAACCCACGACTTACTCGCCCCTTCTTCTCCCACTCGTTCACCGGAACGCCCAGGCGAAACCATCCCCTATCCGTTACTAAACTGATTTCCAGCTGAGATTTACCGAGGCTCCAGAATTTCCGTGTTTCCTCCACTTTCAATTCCGAGTAGAGACGGTGTAGCCACCGGAGAAGCGAACGAATCCACGGAACGGAACACGTCTCGAGCGTGTTCAAAGCCACCGATTCTGTTCGCGCAACTTCTCTATCCGCCCGTTTTACTCATAGCTAGTATTAGGTCACGTCGCGATTTTCTTATCGCGATAAACTTCGTAGCGAACTTTAATGTATTTCCAGGCTGTCTGGGACAATTTACCCGTAGATAACTCATGTGTGATTCAGTGTTTCGAAATTACCATTCGCTGCTTTCCGTTCCAGTGAACGTTCACTTCTGGTGGAACATAGAATTTCGGGTCACAAAATTTCTCGATCTTCGCTTTGAATTTTTTTCCTAAAAGTGACATTGATGTCTCAAGATTTGGGGTTAGAAAATTCCTCGATCTTCGCTTTCAATTATTTTCCCAATAATATCATCGGTACCACAATTCCTCAATCTTGGCTTTCAATTTTT